CAATTTAATCGGTCAATTAATTAAATGTGTCTAATCCAAATTCAACATTATTAATTAGTCAATACTACCGCTCATCATCCGATCTTTTTCAGTTTGTAATCATTTTCATTTACCTAATTAATATTTATGCGTAATGAGAGGGAGAATGCTGGCTGCCTAGTAAGTCCAGCTTGCCCTAGGTGACTTTTTCTTAATTAATGGAATACTAAAATTAACAAATCTAAATTAATTATCATAATAATAATATTCAGATGTGCAAAGTAAAAAAATAACAAAAAGTTATTGATAAGCTGAATTTATATATATTAATGGAAAATTTTTATTTTAATGTTATTAATATTTTAATGAATTTTAATGAGATTTTATCTAATTTTATGTAATTTTCATTTCTTATATAAAAAAGGACTTAATGGGAAGAAATCATAATTTTAAGGAGCAAATTGTAGAGATCAGAAAGATGAGGATTAAGTTGCATAGAATTCAAAAGTTAGAGACCAGGACTATGATTTAACCATTAACCAAAATTACTTTAAAGGCCAAATTCCCGACACGGACTCTTCATCGTGGATGCAGTGAATGTGTCAGCACCTTCTCTAGGGTGTCGACCACTTGGGGATTTTCAGCAACCAGGTCTTTAATATTTTTACGTGGGTCTCACGTGTATTTCAGTTATATTTTTTAAAATTCTATAAATGTGCATCTAAATTCAGAATTGAGGCTGCTTTGGGGGCTGGTAGCAGTTTCTTTTTTGGTATTTTTAGATATTAAAATAGAAGATTTATCAATAATAAAATATTAAAAATTTTAACTTTTTCAAATAAATTTGGTTTTGTTTATCTTTAAATTACTTTTTTTTATCTATTTTTTTTATATTCTTATATTTATAACTATGATTTCAAATTTTATTACTTTTATTATGAACTAATTTAATTTATTAGGGTTTTTATGTAACTTAATTAATTTAACATAAATTTTATTATTTTTATACTTTTAATTAAAGTTATTAACACAGTGAGTTTTTATCATCATCTTAATGCTTCAAAAGTTTGATCAACTTTTGATTAATTATGTAATTTATGTATGAATTTTGAGAAAAAATTATATAAATTAGACCAATATATAACAATATTAACCAGTGTTAGATTATGAGGCCAAAAGATAACTAATGTCACATGTGATAGTGAATAAAGA